TACATATATTTGGAAAAAAATATTTATAATTTATATTGCAGAAAAAATCGAAGGAAATATAGATCTTAGATCAGGGCTAAAGGCGAATACTCTGACAAATCTGTCAATGGTATGTTATCAATTCTAGAAAAGTCGTAGAAAACGTTTAAAGTGTACTAATCATAGCAAAAGTTCGCATTGAAAATTATTTTTTGTTGTCAGTCTTTCAAAATTGTATAGATTTACTCTAAATTATTCAATTATTTTATGCATCTTACCCATCTGAATAGTCTGGATCTGTATCGAATGGAAAAGAATCTTCAGATTTTTCTAAATTTTCTGCTTCACTTCCTCTTCCCCCATAACCACCTCTACTCGAATGTCTACCGAAGAGACCTGTTCGATTCTCAGCAGGGTAGTTACTCATAAATTGCTAGAAATACAAAAATAAGTGGTTAGTAATTAGAAAATTATAAATCGCAATATTTTTATACAAGATTAAAGAAATAGACAAGTTTTTTAATAAAGACTTTGGTACAGGGTACAGTTAATTTTAACTTACAGAAATTTTATTTTATTTTATAATTTTAACAGAAGAATCCTACGAATATCATGGATTCAAAGAATGTCAAACATGGAAATAACTAGAAGGATAGGAAATGAGGCGGAAATAATATTAACTATTAAAAGACGAAAACTTGAGTACTTGGGACATGTGATGAGAGGGCAAAAATACGCATTATTACAACTTATTATGCAGGGCAAAATCCGAGGAAAGCGAAATGTGGGAAGACGAAGAATATCCTGGCTTAAGAACTTAAGGGAATGGTTTGAATGCAGTAGTGCAGAACTTTTTAGAGCGACAGTCAACAGAGTCCGCATAGCCATGATGATTTTCAACCTTCGATAGAAGATGGAACTTAAAGAAGAAGAATTTTAACTTCTAATTATTTAAATTTTGAATTTTCATCTCAGCCTATTGTAGCAAATAAAATCCACCTGTCTTATTTATCAATTTTCAGTATCTGAGGCTTATAAATGTTTAGATTCTGGTGTTTTCTTTTGATTTTTATCTTCTTGTTGTTCTTTCTTTATATAAGCAATTCTGCTTGTTGTTTTAAAAACGCCATATTTCTTTTTATAAACCATGAAAATAATGCTCCTGTTCTTTTGAGAAGCGTTGTGCATCATTTCTTTTTATCACACAAATTCGACCATACTTTCTCTCTCGTCATACCACACTCTGTGCCAAAATTAACCGGCTATTAAAAATGGGTAATTTTTCGTGACTTATATCTCCTAAACCTGTTCCTGTCCTAAACCTTGTCTAATTAAGTGATTTTTTAAATGTTATAGCCTTATTCCTTGACAATGTTGTTATAATAATATGGTTGCTGAAGAGGTAAATTTCCATTGTATACCGTGTGTCCGAATTAAACTGTGTTTTTTTCTTAAAATTTGCATCACTCTGTGGACTATTCTAGCATTTATAAAATATTAAAATTAAAACCTAACTATAGCCTCATGTTTTCTCAACTTTTTGTTTTTTGATTCATTCGTGTAGTTTAGCAACTAGCCATGTTTTTCATCAATACAAACGATTTAACTCATCAGCAAAATTAACCCCACCACCTTTATTATTGTTTTGTTTACATTACCTGTGACAGTTTGTTTCCTAAATTTATGTCATCAAAGGATTTTTGTTGTTTGTTTGTGTTTAAATGACTGCGGACACTAAATCCATTCACCAATCTTACAATTTGAGGTGTAGTGTGTGTGTGTGTGTGTGTAGAGTAATTGTCTTGATACTTAGCAAAGTCGACGTCATTGTCTTTGCTAAGAGACGCTAATTGTATCCGAACGTCTGCGGTGCCTCCGGTGTGTACCGATCACACAAGGATAGAAATTATTTTCATTTATTAATTTTTTTAATAAACGAAAATTTCCACCCAGGTGGGATTCGAACTCACGACCTTTAGGTTTAAAGGCAGGCGCTCTTACCACTGAGCCACAGAGGGGGTCACAAAGGATTTTTGACATATAGTCGTTGTACGACATTGTTGCAAATCTGTTTCCGTGTTAATAACAATTCTTGAACAATTTGTAATTAAAATTAAATTTGTAATTAAAATTAACAATTAAAATTGTAACTTTATATCATTTCCAATATTGTTTAAGTTGAATTTTTAGTGTTTATTTATTGTTTGTGATTTTAAAAATGCCACTCGTTCCAACTGATGCTGTTAGGGCAGTGGCTTTAGTTGATGCTGGTTACAGTCACAACGAAGAAAAAATACCAGATGATTGGTTAGAGTCACTATTTATAACATTACCAAAGAAAAGCAGGCCCACCAAATGCAGCGATTTTAGACTAATCAGTTTGATGAGTCACACACTGAAGATACTCTTACGAATTATACAAAACCGAGTATTCCTTAGATGCGAAAGTAGGATGGGTGATAAGCAATTTGGATTTAGAAACGGTCTAGGAACTAGAGAGGCACTCTTCTGTATGCGCGTTCTATTACAAAAAAGTTGTGAATTCCGAAAGAATGTTTATGTTTTTTCATCGACTTCGAGAAGGCGTTCGACAGACTACAACACGATACACTTTTCGATTGCCTACGGACAGCAGGACTTGACCATTATGATATAAGACTGCTGAAATAATTATATTACAATGAAGTAGCCTCTATACACATTGGAGACAGTCCGACGAAAAACTATCCATCAAACGTGGAGTACGGCAGGGTTGTATTTTGTCATTCACTCTTTTTAATCTGTACTCTGAAGAAATCTTTAGGGAAGCTTTGGATGACAGACAAGAGGGAGTAAGACTAGGTGGAGAAGTAATCAACAATATTAGATACGCTGACGATAGAGCCATTCTTGCAGAAAATTTACAAGATCTCCAAACATTACTTAATCTATTCAGAGAAGCAAGTTTTTGGACAGGCCTTAAAATCAACATTTCAAAGACAAAGTGGATGGCAGTTGGAAAGATCAATATAGATCAAGGTCTGATTTCTCTTAATGGAGAAGAGATCGAAAGGGTAAATCATTTCAAATACCTTGGCAGCTGGTTAAATGTAAATTATGACTCTGACGAAGAGATAATAACCAGAATCGAAATATCACGTAAGGCTTTTATGACCTGGAAACCAGTTTTATGCAACAGAAACCGATCGATGAATATTCGTAAGAAGTTGGTTGTGAGACATGGATGTTAAAAACCACAATGCTAAACAAGTTAGAAGCATTTGAATTGTGGTGCTATAGACGAATCCTAAAGATATTGTGGGTTTCGCACACTTCCAATAAAGATGTTCTTCAAATGATCAATTCAGAATGTCTGCTCATAAACACCATAAAGAGGAAAAAAACAGAATACTTCGGCCATATAATTAAACAACCTAAATACCATCTACTTCGCCTTATAATACAAGGAAAAGTGGAAGGAACCACAATGGTGTGGTTCCACACTAGAAGAATTATTTGGCGCAGCAGCCGACAGAGAAAAGTTTCAGGAAATTGTAAACATGATGACGGCCAACGTCTGAATACGGACACGGCACCCAAAGAAGAAGAAGAAGAAGAGGTTACAGTCAACGTCATATCCATACTCGATGTACCCAGAACTACGGTACAAGATGCCATCAGACGATTTCGGGAGATAGGATTGTACAACCGCAGGTCAGGTCAAGGCTGAAAACGATGCACTTTCTAAATAAGGTATTGAGAAATTGCTTTTGCACCGCTCCTGGAGCTCGTAGGTCTCTTTTTGAGATGGGATGGTTAGTGTGAGTAGACAAACGATTAGAAGAAGACTGTCAGAAATAAACTTGAGGTCTTTTCGTCCAGCTCGCGCACTACAACTACTCTCACAACACCGTAGTCCTAGACTTCATTTTGCGCGAGAATATGCTAACTGGACTATGGCGGAACGGAAGAATAAACTGTTCTCAGGTGAGAGCAGTATAGCCCTAAAAGGTCCAGATGGACGCTAACGTGTCTATAGGCGTCAAACTGAAAGGTTTGCTGCATGTGCTATAACCGAAACAGTGGCTTGCCGAGAAGGGTCTATAATGAGGATAGGATAAAGAGCAAGAGTACCAGCCCCTGCATCCTTTGAAGAGCTGAAGACAGCTGCGGTAGAGGAGTGGTACAATATACCCCAATCTGATATCCAGAATATCATGAATGGATTGCCAAAGCGGCTCCAAGAAGTCCTAAGGGCTAGAGGCGGCAACATCCATTATTGATACCCAATTTTTTTTCAATTAGACTTTGATTTCCAATATATAGTTAATTTGAAAATTCTTCGAAGATTTTATTCATTGGACTTTTACTGTAACAAACGGCTTTTTCAAAAAGACTATTTTTTCTAAAAAAATCCACAAGGAAAAAAATTTCTTTTGAAGTGTTTCCACAAGGAAAAAAATTTCTTTTGAAGTTTGAGTTCCCAGCTGTTCTCCGCGTGTAGAGGTTCTCTCTCACCGGCTCTGGAACTCGCTTCAACCATGTGCTACCTCTAGCCAAATTTAATTTAATACTGAACATCACAGTTATTTTACAACACAATGTAAAATCTTTTATAACTAAATGTAATTTAAAGGGTTTTGACCCTAGTATTTTGGTGGCTCAGGCATTGTGACCTAGCATTTTTCGATTTTAAACCCTGATGATGGACTGTGTGGTCCGAAAACGTTTGTTTTATTGATGTAGCCCTTTTAAGGGTTTTTTAAATAAATATACCCATTAACAAAGACTAACCTCTTTTTTTTTACTATTTTTTCTCTTCGGCGGAGATAAAAATTTATAAAAAACATGTCTAGTTGTTAAAGCACCTAACTTTAGTATTATACAACATAAGCGAATCAATCAAAAAACAACATGTTGAGAAAGCATGAGGCTATAGTAACGATTTAATTTCAGTATTCTACAAATGCTAGAATATTCCACAAGGTGATGCAAACTTTAACAAAAAAAACACAGTTTGATTCGTACAACGGTATACGTATACAATGAAAATTTACCTGTTTAGCAACAATATTATTATAACGATATTGTCAAGGAATAAGGA